ACGGAATAAAAATAACATTGTTAATACGATAATTTCATGAAAAAAAGCAGAACAAAATTACATTTACATTTTTTTTACCCCATTAAAATCGACACAGTCAATGGTATTACTATTTCCCGGGCTTGATGATGGGGTTTGTTACGAGGATCTGTCAGTGAGGATCTATCAGTGAGGATCTGTCAGTGAGGATCTGTCAGTGAGGATCTGCCAGTGAGGATCTGTCAGTGAGGATCTGTCAGTGAGTATCTGATAGAGCATCTGTCTGGTTATCTGCTAGAGTTTCTGTTAGAGGGGATCTGTCAGTGAGTATCTGTCAGTGAGTATCTGTCAGTGAGTATCTGTCAGTGAGTATCTGTCAGAGTATCTGCCAGTGAGTATTACATTAGTGAGCTCTGGACATCTGGATTAACAATAAGCCAATACATTTATACAACACTGTTTATATGTTCATCTCTATGAGTGGTTGGGATCGTATATCCTTGTTCAGAAGAACATGCACAACCTGTTCTCCTGTCAGTAGCATACATAACATTGTATTAATTCGTATGATATTGATAAAAAAGGCTTACATTATTGTGGTATATCATTTAAGTAATTTCATTGTCTACCAACGAAAAGATAACGTAACTGCGTTGTTTGTCACAGTAATTACGTCTTTACAACGTAAAAAATAACGTCATGACTACTTTGTGTGTTTGTTGGGTTGAGCAGAGCTCATGGTCCCGTCTGTGATTAGTTGCTAATTATTTAAGCATTTGATTGGCAGAAGTATTTCCTGGTTTGCAACATCTAGGATGAAGACTATTTGGACATACATAAGTTGCAGCTGATGTATGCAACATACACCAGCTGGAACATACAACAGCTGGAACATACACCAGCTGGAACATACACCAGCTGGAACATTCACAATCTGGAACACACACACAATATGGAACACATACTCTGTAACATAAACCCACTGAAATATACACTGTTTGGAACATAAAACATCTGAAACATATACAATCTGGAATATAAATCAATATCTATATGAGGAAGAGCTGGAACATACACCATATGCGACATACTGCTCCCTGGAATATTACGCCTTCCAGCATGTCTAATTAATCAAGGCACACAACTCATTAATTCAATTTACACTTCGTTTCTCTCTCTCTGTTGAGGTGTTACACATGTTAGTTATACTCCATGGGAGTTGTGAACGTGGGGGATTGAGTCTAGTACATGGAAGTTTGAGTACAGTACTTGGAAATTTGGGTCTACTAAATGGAAATTTGAGTCTACTAAATGGAAATTTGGGTCTACTAAATGGAAATTTGAGTCTACTAAATGGAAATTTGGGTCTACTAAATGGAAATTTGGGTCTACTAAATGGAAATTTGGGTCTACTAAATGGAAATTTGGGTCTACTAAATGGAAATTTGGGTCTACTAAATGGAAATTTGGGTCTACTAAATGGAAATTTGGGTCTACTAAATGGAAATTTGGGTCTACTAAATGGAAATTTGGGTCAAACTAATGGAAATTTGGGTCTACTAAATGAAAATTTGGGTCTACTAAATGGAAATTTGGGTCTACTAAACGGAAATTTGGGTCTACTAAATGGAAATTTGGGTCTACTAAATGGAAATTTGAGTCTACTAAATGGAAATTTGGGTCTACTAAATGGAAATTTGGGTCTACTAAATGGAAATTTGGGTCTACTAAATGGAAATTTGGGTCTACTAAATGGAAATTTGGGTCTACTAAATGGAAATTTGGGTCAAACTAATGGAAATTTGGGTCTACTAAATGGAAATTTGGGTCTACTAAATGGAAATTTGGGTCTACTAAATGGAAATTTGGGTCTACTAAATGGAAATTTGGGTCTACTAAATGGAAATTTGGGTCTACTAAATGGAAATTTGGGTCTACTAAATGGAAATTTGGGTCTACTAAATGGAAATTTGGGTCTACTAAATGGAAATTTGGGTCTACTAAATGGAAATTTGGGTCTACTAAACGGAAATTTGGGTCTACTAAATGGAAATTTGGGTCTACTAAACGGAAATTTGGGTCTACGAAATGGAAATTTGGGTCTACTAAATGGAAATTTGGGTCTACTAAACGGAAATTTGGGTCTACTAAATGGAAATTTGGGTCTACTAAATGGAAATTTGGGTCTACTAAATGGAAATTTGGGTCTACTAAATGGAAATTTGGGTCTACTAAACGGAAATTTGGGTCTACTAAATGGAAATTTGGGTCTACTAAATGGAAATTTGAGTATAGTTCATGAACGTTTGGGGTCTGCTACGTGGGATTATGAGTACAGTACATAGAAAATTTGGGCCTAATTCATGTGACTTCGAGTCTAATACGTGGGATTTTGGGTCCAATATGTAGGGAGTTGAGTTAAATTCTAGCTGTCATCCCTCTGCACCTAATTGAGAATGGTATTTCCAGCTATCCTTTGACATAGCTTGGAGCCCTCACACCAGGATAGGATTTTGGTAACCTTGTCAATGAGATACAGGCTTACAAATTATGAAATAGAAGATGAAACGCCAGCATTGATATGGAGTACACTAATAGTGTGTGTGTGTGTGTGTTGACTCAATGTTGCACAGCTGCTGCGTGTGCACACGAGTCGGAAATCTAAGCCCTCTGGTGCACAGTGCACAGGCGTATGATAGCTATTTCCCTTATTGTTCAACGTAATCCAAGCTTGTTTGGTCTCTAATGAGAGCTCGTGGTTCAAGCAACATGATTAGTCTACGAGGGATGTTGTAGGATTGTTCAGGCTGGAGATTGACTGGGCTAGCAGTCCTGGTGTACACTATTTGTACACCAGCACTACTAGCAGTAAGTGAGTGCAAGCCACCACAAGAACACCATCTCTGTGTTGTACTGTACTGTTGTACAGTACAACAATGTACTGTCCTGATAGTGTAGTACTCAGTGTAGTGCTCTCATAGTGTAGTACTCAGTATTATGCCCTGATGGTGTAGTCCTCAGTGTAGAAAGTGCAGCACTCACTATAGTGCCTTGATGGTATAGTACTCAGTATAGCACCAGACAGTATAGTACCCAACAGTGTTGCCACATAAGCATTACCCTCACTAAAATAGAGAAAACGAAATATTCAATAAAATGAAAGTGCTCTAATGTGTAAAGTGCTCTAATGTGTAAAGTGCTCTAATGTGTAAAGTGCTCTAATGTGTAAAGTGCTCTAATTTGTTAAGTGCTCTAATGTGTAAAGTGCTCTAATGTGTAAAGTGTTCTAATGTGTAAAGTGCTCTAATGTGTTAAGTGTTCTAATGTGTAAAGTGCTCTAATGTGTAAAGTGCTCTAATGTGTTAAGTGCTCTAATGTGTAAAGTGCTCTAATGTGTAAAGTGCTCTAATGTGTAAAGTGCTCTAATTATGTTAAGTGCTCTAATGTGTAAAGTGCTCTAATGTGTAAAGTGCTCTAATGTGTAAAGTGCTCTAATGTGTAAAGTGCTCTAATGTGTAAAGTGCTCTAATGTGTAAAGTGCTCTAATTATGTTAAGTGCTCTAATGTGTAAAGTGCTCTAATGTGTAAAGTGCTCTAATGTGTAAAGTGCTCTAATGTGTTAAGTGCTCTAATGTGTAAAGTGCTCTAATGTGTAAAGTGCTCTAATGTGTAAAGTGCTCTAATGTGTTAAGTGCTCCTTGCTCTAATCCCAATCACTCCTCACTACTACTGCAAATACTCACTAATCCGGGAGTCGAAATTCTTATATGGGAATTAAAACGCCTTTATCAACACGCAACTCGATACCAGAACATTTCTCTCACTTTAAAAGTTGCATCGAACATTTTAACATTGACGAAACCTGTATATCTCTCCTCAGACATGGGGGCTTTGTTTACACTTCGTAAACAGTTTACGCGCTTCGAAAACATCGAAACCCAAAGTTATTTTTGTTGTAAATGACCTCGAAGTGGTTCGGAAGTCATAAACTGTTTCATTAATTTAAAACAATGACTCCAAAATTGATGAACAGGTTTCGTAAGTCAATGCGTAGATGCTGGTTTTATAAGATTTTGCCGAACGCTCGATAAGGCATCAGCCGTCCACCTGTTTATGAATGATACGATATCAGTATTAGAGATAGGATATCAGTACTAGAGATACGATATCAGTACTAGAGATACGATATATCAGAACTATAGATACGATATATCAGTACTAGATATCAGTATCAGAGATACGATATCAGTACTAGAGATACGATATCGGTACTAGATATACGATATCAGTATCAGAGATACGATATCAGTACTAGAGATACTTTATCAGTCCCAGATATACGATATCAATACTAGAGATACAATATCAGTATTAGAGATACTTATACCAGAGATACGATATCAATACTAACGAAGATATATCAATATCAACGATACAATACACCCGAGTGGTGCATTGTATCATTGTATCATTGTATCATTGTATCATTGTATCATTGTATTATAATATATAATAATTGTATTATTGAGTGTTTGTGGTGTGCAGAAAAATTAAATATAAATAAATTATGAAAATCAAATCAATCTACTGTATGAAGGCTCTGGTACACAGCTGGCTCCTTCTTCACTACGTACTAAATACGACTGTTGAATTTATCAATATTGCATATACCTAAGTAGATGTAAATTTAGGGAGAGGCTTTACTGTATCTGATGTGGGATACCAGCTTCTTGCTTCAGATGTTCGTTTGTAAACCAATCAGAGAGAGAGAGAGAGAGAGAGAGAGAGAGAGAGAGAGAGAGAGAGAGAGAGAGAGAGAGAGAGAGAGAGAGAGAGAGAGAGAGAGAGAGAGAGAGAGAGAGAGAGAGAGACAGACAGAGAGCATGAATAGACAAACATACTCCAAGATACACACAGGCAGACATTAAAATACAGTGCGAGACAGACACCTCAACACAACACCTAAGATACACACAGAACACCAACACTTACACACTAAACACCAACAGGTGTTCACTCACCTGATGCACACACGAAGGAACAGGGTGATGGCCCATGTTATCTCCAGGAAGAACAGTGTGACGGAGAACACCCTGCAATGATAACACAGGTGTTAATAGTGTACACTGGTCAGAGACACAGGTGTTGGTGTACACTGGTGGGAGACACAGGTGTTAGTGTGTACACTGGTCAGAGACACAGGTGTTGGTGTACACTGGTGGGAGACATAGGTGTTAGTGTACAGTGTCTTGTATGTGATTAATACTTTTCAATCACTGAAAGTATTGAAACACACCATACTTGTGGTGTGGCCAGTGTCCTAAGAGCTGTCTTCTTGTTTGGAGTGGAGTGGTTGTTAGTGTACACTAGTTGTGACTTGTAGGGGGGCTTGTGGGTGTTACCTCACACCAGGGGACTCCTGGGTCTTGCCTCACACCAGGGGCCTACTGGGTCTTACCTCACACCAGGGGACTCCTGGGTCTTGCCTCACACCAGGGGCCTAAAGGGTCTTACCTCACACCAGGGGACTACTGGGTCTAGCCTCACACCAGGGGCCTACTGGGTCTTACCTCACACCAGGGGACTCCTGCGCCTTACCTCACACCAGGGGCCTACTGGGTCTTACCTCACACCAGGGGCCTACTGGGTCTTGCCTCACACCAGGGGCCTACTGGGTCTTGCCTCACACCAGGGGCCTACTGGGTCTTGCCTCACACCAGGGGCCTACTGGGTCTTGCCTCACACCAGGGGCCTACTGGGTCTTGCCTCACACCAGGGGCCTACTGGGTCTTGCCTCACACCAGGGGCCTACTGGGTCTTGCCTCACACCAGGGGCCTACTGGGTCTTGCCTCACACCAGGGGCCTACTGGGTCTTGCCTCACACCAGGGGCCTACTGGGTCTTGCCTCACACCAGGGGCCTACTGGGTCTTGCCTCACACCAGGGGCCTACTGGGTCTTGCCTCACACCAGGGGCCTACTGGGTCTTGCCTCACACCAGGGGCCTACTGGGTCTTGCCTCACACCAGGGGCCTACTGGGTCTTGCCTCACACCAGGGGCCTACTGGGTCTTACCTCACACCAGGGGCCTACTGGGTCTTACCTCACACCAGGGGCCTACTGGGTCTTGCCTCACACCAGGGGCCTACTGGGTCTTGCCTCACACCAGGGGCCTACTGGGTCTTACCTCACACCAGGGGACTCCTGCGTCTTGCCTCACACCAGGGGCCTACTGGGTCTTGCCTCACACTAGGGGACTCCTGCGTCTTGCCTCACACCAGGGGCCTACTGGGTCTTACCTCACACCAGGGGCCTACTGGGTCTTACCTCACACCAGGGGCCTACTGGGTCTTGCCTCACACCAGGGGCCTACTGGGTCTTACCTCACACCAGGGGACTACTGGGTCTTGCCTCACACCAGGGGCCTAAAGGGTCTTACCTCACACCAGGGGGGGGGGTTATAAATCTCATAATCATATCAGGCACCACTTATATCTAACCTCATATCATGGGACAACATACAACCTCATAACAGGGACCACATATAATCTCATAACAGGGACCACATATCAAGGACCACATATATCTAACCCTCACATCATGTACCACATATTTCAATCACATCAAGAACAGTTATCAATGCCATGTTAACCTAACTATATCCAGATTATCAGCAGCCTCTGAAAAAAAACAAATTCTCAGCATTAAACCAATACAATCAGCAAAGGCTAAGGATGAAGGGGATACTCACAGGATGTAAACTCCAATGATGTGGTGATGGTAAACCATGTCGACTCCCACGCCCCACAACACTGCAAAGAATGGAATGATCTCAATACGTGATTTAAAGACTGTTGTTGTGTTTAATCGTTGATAGGAAGAGGTACTAGTGATTTTATGCCTTGGCTTCGTGTTTTGCTGAAGTGTGTGTGTGTGTGTGTGTGTGTGTGTGTGTGTGTGTGTGTGTGTGTGTGTGTGTGTGTGTGTGTGTGTGTGTGTGTGTGTGTGTGTGTGTGTGTGTGTCCGCCTCTCAACTGTCAGTCAACTTATCTTTTACCCCCCCCCCCCCATACACACACACACACCCAAAGCAGTCTGTAGCAGCTGTCTAACTCCCAGGTACTTATTTACTGCTAGATGAACAGGTGCATCAGGGTGAAAGAAAATCTGCCCATCTGTTTCCGCCTTCGCTGGGGATCGAACCTGGAACCTTTGAACTACGAACCCCGAGTTCTGTCCACTCAGCCGCCAGGCCCCCAAATATCTTGTCTAATAAATATATTATTTATAACCGTTTATAAATACATTATTTGTTACCGTTTATAAATATATTTTGTATTATCGTTTAATTAATAAACGGAAATGAATGCTCAAATATTATATAATTATTAACAAAATCGTTACATCCAAATTTAAAATATAATATATTGATAACTTATTTCGTATAAAAGACAGTTTTTACCCATTAGAATACATGAAAACCTTTCTTATTCAAGCAATAGGTTATTTGTAAACACAAAACTCTTACCCCTCGCGGTCTTACACGCGAGGGTTCCAGAGTTCGAATCTCCTAGTGCCCAAGTGAATGGAATGGACAAAAAACTCTATTAGAAAAACTTCCCAAAACTTCCCGCTATCCTAATAACGTATCTATGCCAATAATGTGTCGGCTATTCTTGCAATGATTCGTATATCCCAAGGAGGATATCCAAGCTATCCTTGGATGTGATCACGTCATGGCCAGAATATATGTTTTGCCATCACAGAATACATAAATCTTCACAAAGCCAGACATACGTAAAGAGTTTGTATGCGGTGTTTCAAGGCTCGTAGCCCTCTGGAGCAAACATCAAGCCTAAAGGGCAGAGGTAAACATTGCCTCAATGCTGTCACTCAAGCGAAATGTAGGAAAACGTTCCCCGCTTTCTTAGATTGTCTGTGAGAGGGTGACCTTAGCGGGTGACCTTGGAGGGTGACCTTGGAGGGTGACCTTGGAGGGTGACTTTGAAGGGTGACCTCGGAGGGTGACCTTCGAGGGTGACCTTGGAGGGTGACCTTGGAGGGTGACCTTGGAGGGTGACCTTGAAGGGTGACCTTGGAGGGTGACCTTGTAGGGTGACCTTGGAGGGTGACCTTGGAGGGTGACCTTGTAGGGTGACCTTGGAGGGTGACCTTGGAGAGTGACCCAGTAAAGCACTGACCTGTGACAGCCTTACCCTGGGCTCAATATTGTTATTGAAGTGTACAAATTACTTCAGTTAAGGCACCAGCACTTCTTCGTTGATAATGCCTTAATAATATAATTTATTTCTACTCAAATACATTTTAAGGATAGGAGAGCTATATAATGATGTTGATCAAGCAACCTGTCCTCACAATGCATAGCAATTATAATGCAATCGCAGCTGCAAAATTCCTGTGTTTTAGTGAAATCAAAAACATTTCAATACAGATGCGCCAGAGAATCAACGTTGCAAGTAAACAATGCAGAAAATGCAGTAGAATGATGAACGAGGGGGGGGGGAGTTATGAGGAGAAAGCGCCAAGCCTTTATGACTATATAGCACTGGGAAGGAGTCAGGACAAAGATTTGGGATGGGACGGAGGGATGGAATGGCGCCCACCCACTTGAATGGTGAAGGAGAGCGATGCAAAAGTAATGCAGACGTTTCGGACCATTATATCAAGTCGTGTGTCGTTATCATCAAACGGACAGAAACGTCGTCGTCTCCTCATCTTCTGGTGTGTGGTTTGGTCGTTATATCTTCAGCCACGTTATTGTGACTCATCGTCAGAATGTTGTTTGAGGAGGCTGTGATAGGAGGCAACAGGAAAGGTGAGGAAATGGTGATAACGAACCGGGAGAGGAAGAAGGATAAGGTGGAGGAGGCTGTCAAGAGAGTGTGTTCAAGAGTAATTCCCAGCACTCTGAAGGTGTGTAGTGGCGCTGACGGTTTGATATGATTCCGTCCTGCATGTTGGTAAGTAGCTTAGTGGGCTTCCTGGTGCAGGTGTTGGCAGTGGCGTCAGCTTATCTGGTATATTTTGAAGCACCACAATACTTTCCTCAAATACGTGCATCGTTCAGCTGACTTTTTAATTTTCGTTCGAATAAATTGGGACTCGGTACGTTCTTGGTGGGGCAAACAGGGAACGTCCAAAGTAATTACAGTTTTGAGAGATCGTTTTAAAAAGTGCAAATTGTGATTTTGAACGCCTGGAACGACGCAAATTTAGAAATAATAAAACTATATACATCACAAGCATCCAGGAATTGTTAGTCTATATTTAGCGTTTTCTATAATAGTGGACACACAACTAATCCTAATAATGGACAGCTTTGCCAGCGACACCACAAATATTCTCCAGGAGTAACTGTTCTCAAGTTAAAGTTGCGTTAGTATCCACCCAAAAAGTTAAGGAATGATCCATATGACCAGTAGAGACCAACTTGACTGGGGGAGGGGCCTACAATTGCTTCTTCAAGTGCTTTCTCGTAAACAAATCCGAGACATTTACGAGTTTTTCACTAAACACAAAGTTTATGGTTATTGCGCATGTCTGAGTAAGCCATCAGGCAACAGACCATCTCTCCTTCACAGCACAATACGAGCGTGGGTTGTGTTCATGGGCAATATTTACATTTTAATATGCTTACAAATACGACTGTTTTAATCAAATGCATTTTGAAGGAAAATGCGGGATTGTTGCCAGGGGCTAAATGTACCCTAAAAGCCATATGTTGCTACTTGTGCAGGAAACAATACATGCAACACGACCTAAGATTTGTGTGGGTTATCTTGGATATGTGAAAGGATTAACTGGTGCTACAGTTTACATATTATATATTCTTCCTTCTGTCTTTTTCTATTTTTTCAAATATTTCTCTCTCTCTCTCTCTCTCTCTCTCTCTCTCTCTCTCTCTCTCTCTCTCTCTCTCTCTCTCTCTCTCTCTCTCTCTCTCTCTCTCTCTCTCTCTCTCTCTCTCTCTCAGGACAGGCTGTAGTTGTAACCCGTTAGTGCCTTGAAAAAAAATATAACTTGGAATATACCATATATATACTTATTCATAAGCCAAATATGATTATAAGCAATAAGTCATATATGTGCTGTCTTGTGCGAGAGCGGGTTGGTGATAATGAACTACAAGAACAGTTACAGTACTTTTCTCAAACAAATCATGCTGTCCTTAACTTATTAAGACATAATAAAATACTCCTATAGACTCGTCCAATACATTACAAGTTGGAAATTTCCAACACACGTTTTCATAACTAACACATGGCCACCCGCTTATATGACAATATGACGCCAGGCGGGGTCCTCCTCCCTACCATTCAACAACACCCCCCCCCCACCCCACATCCTAACAGAACAAGAGAGGCTTCCCCACAGTCCGCTTCAGAAGAGGACCAACAGATATCCCATCACAAATACGGCGAAACCTATCCATCACCAGCCAACTCGAGCACATGCATGCATACGCGCCACACTGTAAATACACCACACTGTAAACACACCACAGCTGACGCCTCTCACCGCCCCCTCTGAGCTCCACACAAACTAAAACGTTCCTGAGGAGCGGACCTGGGAAGGTGTATTTGCTGAACGCCACTTTGACTACCAATCCCAGCTGAGTAGCATCTCTGGCGTGATACATGTATCCCTCTACGTCATCACTACTCTCTATACTAACATATCTCACACAGCGAAAATGAGACATAAAATATTGTTCTAAATTTATTAGAAAGGGTTACCTCTATATTATATCATATAACTATAACTATATATATATATATATATATATATATATATATATATATATATATATATACATATATATATATATATATATATATATATATATATATATATATATATATATATATATATATATATATATATATATATATATATAGGTTGTGAGGGTACCACCTCTGGTGCCAATGTGGGGACCCATAGCCTCGGAGAAGAAAATAAAAAGTATTCAGAGGAGACCTTGTGGTTTCTCACTGAACACTAATATTATCTTCTCCTACCACCCCCATTCTTTTGTATCTACACATATGTATTTGTTTTATTTGAACTTTGTTACAAAAAAGAAGTTACATATAGGGTACAAAGATAGTTATCATAAGCTGTCGAGCTCCTCCAGTTCCTCAGATGGCGGGCAGGAACCCTGAATGCAGTGCGCATATATATATATATATATATATATATATATATATATATATATATATATATATATATATATATATATATATATATATATATATATATATATATATATATCCTACAATATCACCAATAACGCTACAATCATACGTCAAAAAAAGACTGGTTTATGTACTATGATCACCAGGCATTAAATACGCAGTCCAAAAGTCTACGGGTAATCCCCATAACATTTAACTTAATTTTGGGATAACAATCGGTATTATGATCAGATTTTCGTTTTTTTTTAATTGCTGGCGTACTCAGTGGCTAAAGTTTAACGATATGGTAAGAAAATAATAATATTAATTCAGAGTAGTCATAATGGAAGCGCAAGACTTTTCTGGGGGTCACTGTGGTGCAGTGTCACGTGGTACTCTCTTCTTTGATGCCAATCACAATAGGGCGCCTGGTGGTTGAGTTGACACCACGCTGGATACGTAGTCCTGTTAACCGGGGATCGATTCCCGGCGATAGCGGAAACAAATGGGCAGAGATTCTTTCACCGTGATGCCCCTGTTACCTAGCAGTAAATGGGTACCTGGGAGTTAGACAGCTGCTACGGGTTGCTTCCTGTGTGTGTGTGTGTGTGTGTGTGTGTGTGTGTGTGTGTGTGTGTGTGTGTGTGTGTGTGTGTGTGTGTGTGTGTGTGTGTGTGTGTGTGTGTGAAATAAATCCGTTGATTGGTTGATTGACAGTTGAGAGGCGGGCCCAAGGAACCAGAGGTCAACCCCCGCAAGCACAACTACGTGAATACAGTGGCCAATGCTGGAGAAAGGGGAAAATATATTTGTAACGGATAATAAAGCAGATTTTACTGAATAATAAATGAGTCATAACGGATGCATGTAGATCTCAGATTCAGCCAACTGTTATGGCTGGCATCCTGGGGGCAAAGGACATTATTTTGAACCACTCTATACTACCCTAACAACCGTTCAGCCCCAAACTGTGAAAAACTATTATCCATATTTATCTTAAGATTCTCATTTCTTATTTCTTAATTCCAATAATTAGTGTTTCATTAATTATATCATTTGTCACAACAGGGTGTCTATTAGCGATGAGTTGAAACTAATTCTATATTCAATATTTATGATTTATTTAGTAAATCGTATTATTTATACACTCTTTTACAAATTAAATTTATTCTCGATAAAGCAATTTCTTAGCTTGAATTATGTAAAAAACGAATAAATTTGATAGAGAGTACTCGGGACGCACAGTACATGGAAGGGATATGAGGACAAGGAGCTGGGATACGAAGACAAGGAGCTGGGATACGAAGACAAGGAGCTGGGATATGAGAACAAGGAGTTGGGATATGAGAACAGGGAGCTGGGATATGAGGATAGGGAGCTGGGATATAAAGACGGGGGAGAGGAACAGTGGCCAACCATTGGGGATTGAATGCAGATCCTACAAACAGCAAAGCCGTGTCTCTCTCTCTCTCTCTCTCTCTCTCTCTCTCTCTCTCTCTCTCTCTCTCTCTCTCTCTCTCTCTCTCTCTCTCTCTCTCTCTCTCTCTCTCTCTCTCTCTCTCTCTCTCTCTCTCTCTCTCTCTCTCTCTCTCAACCAGTCTCGCTGTTTCGACAACCCGTTTCTGTGAGTTCTTCCAACTTCCCAATAAAGGAGATTTGCGAGACAAATATGTTATTTTAACTCAGACGATAAATGAATTTCTCAAAAAGGTAATTTCTAAATGTGGAACAAATTGTCTAGCAGAAATTCTAACGAAAATTGGGAGTAAGCCTTGCAGGACGGGCGGGGGGGGGGGGGGGGGGGGCTGAGGCACCAAAGACTCTATATAGACAAGGTAAAAATTGTCAACGCACAAAGACCAATGGGTAATCAACTTGGGCTTCCCGGTCGAAAATAAGACCGTTTTCTTCAGAACGAGAAAAAAGACCGTTCCCTTCTGATGGGTAATAAGACCGTTCTCCCCTTCCTAGTGGCCTCTCTCTCTCTCTCTCTAGGGGGAGAGAGAGAGAGAGAGAGAGAGAGAGAGAGAGAGAGAGAGAGAGAGAGAGAGAGAGAGAGAGAGAGAGAGAGAGAGAGAGAGAGAGAGAGAGAGAGAGAGAGAGAGAGAGAGAGAGAGAGAGAGAGAGAGAGAGAGAGAGTCAATATTCATACGAAAGATTCCCTTGCGTCGAGCATCGAAAAATATATATATGAAACAATTTTTGCAATGATGTCTGTGGGCCTATTAGGTTACCGTCACTATAGCGAGTGCAGATCATTAATTAAAATAGAGCTATTATACAAAATAGTCTTCTAACACGATAGTCACCCATTTACACCCATTTTCATAACTGGCATGTACTAAATTACATCCATGTTTATGCATATGAGACGTACTTACCTAATAGCACCAATGTACAGACATGGAGAAAATAATGGTTTAGACACATTTGAGCATCCCAACCCACACATAAGAAATGAATTAAAGAAAATGGCGTTTCGGCCACCCTAATTAAATCACGATTTGTTAAAAAAGGGGGGGCTCATATTTAATGTCTTATTAAAGGGTAGATTGTTTGTTTGAAACTACGATATTGGAACTTTAAACCCACAGATGGTTGTGATTGGGTACGTGCCCATACCCATGCCACGCCCAGGGAAAGTACCCACAAACAACTGTGGGCACCCACATGAGAGACATGTATACTAACAAATTTTCTTCTGTCCTCAAAGGAGAGGGTTAGAGATCTGTTAAACATATATTCAATGATTTATTGAACAACAAACCACAGAAAGTGATTGTAGTGCTTCTAAGATGCTAATCTAACCTACATACATAAATACATGCTAGTTAGCACTGTAAATATGTGGCCACGTCTGTGGTAGAAACAAAACTCCTACAAATGTAATCAGGATGAGTAACTGTACTCACCTACTGCAGTAGCCACTCCCAGGCCTCTAGTACAGAAGGGAAGGTTCTCCCAAAAGCAGGCACAACGAGCTTCCTCATAACTCATGACTGCGATGTGAATATCCAGGTTCAGGTTCCAGGCTCCTTAACCCGGGATTATTCTTCTCCTTCTGAGTAGGTTTGTATACTCCTTGAGTCTTGCTTTAGCCAGCATCAAAGAGTACACTGCTTATTGGCACTCAACGCAGATATTATCAATATAGATATACATATATATAAATATTTCTTCTCTATATTCAATCACAATATATCAATTTATCTACATTCACCGCAATGAATAATAAATTAGGATTGTTATTAGCTTAAGGCTTCACTAAGTCAATGAGAATCAGTTCTTTAATATAAATATAAATATGTTTATTGTGTAGCATCATTAACCTATACAGGGCAATGCTGCATTTCTCATATAATATGTTGTTTGCATAATTGGTAATTATCACTGTCAGTTGCTTCCTAAAGCTCTGCAATTTAAACTTTTCTTTGTCTCCTTAGTATCATTTGTGGAGTTAAATTCATTTTGCTTCACTGTGTCCTATTTTGCAGCCACGGATTTTCCATGAAATTGGGTATTGATCAACAAAGTTTCAATTCATCACTGCGAAAATTATTCTCAATTTTCATCAGGCTCCATCTGAAACCACAAAAAATATCAGTTAACATTGTTATTTGAATAATTACCAATTTTCCTATTAAAAACCTAGGTTTAACAGTAATAATTGAAGAGATCAAAAGGGTGTTTGTTGAGGATTGATTGCACGTTGAGATGGAGGGAAAGATTGCTCCTCGGGGCCTAGTTCGAGGCATTGGAAGGCGACGTCTTCCCGACCAGAGCTATTTTGTTAAGACAACAGCAATGTTATATCGCCCAAAGCCCTTAGAACTGGCTCAGAGCAAACCTACCCAACCTCTATTACACATAACCTCACAACTGTTTAAATGTTCAATCTCCACAACTCGCATATAACTCTCCAATCGAACCTCACAACCCTATATCAGATCTTCAAAGATTTATGTTCATTAATCAGAGAAAAACCTCAATATAGCAGAATTTTTATTTGCATCAAAACGCCAAAATTTCGACGCTAGGGCCTATAATGCGTCAAAAAATGGGTGCACTCAAAATTTTCCGCCTGCACTACATAGACAGGGCTGGAGAGCTGCCACAGTAGACAAGAGTTACTGTCTACTGAAAACAGAGGTACAGGGAGAATAGGGAGGGAGCCTTATTATTTTCTATCCTGGATAATAGGGAAAGCCTATTTTAAATTTTGATTTCCTCCATACAGTTGCACTTAAAGTTGATAATATATTCTCCTAGTTTTCTCCCATAATATCTTCTTCCCATCTTCTCTTTCATCCCCTGCCTCCTGTCTACCTCAAATCCCAGACTATACTAATCTTTCACCTCCTGTCTATCTTAAATCCCAGACGTTACTAATCCTTCACTTAGTCTACCTCATATCCTAGTCTTTGCCGTCTTCTAATCCAAGTTTCTTGACTGTGAAGTTCCTCTCTCCTTCCTGGCCAGCATAAAGTCCACAAGTATTCCACAAGAAGGTCCCTGAGTGCAGAGCGCTGGAAAGAGAGGAACAAGTGAAGGAATTTTAACCAGCTGCACTATCTTCTCCTACTTCTCCTACCTCCTTTTTCCCTTTTCCTTCTCCCTGTTCCGCCTTCTGTTTTTCCTTCTCCTATTCCATCACTTCTCTTTCGCAGTAGAGTGTACAGTTTGAACATGGAATGCTTACAAAAAATAAAAAAATAAGATTGAATAAACTGCTTCCTAAAACACTAGAAAGGAGAAGTGGAAGTGACTTGATCAAGACATACGAGGTTATGAGAGATACCAACATAGGAAAGGAAGGCTTCATTCGCTTAGCTCAACCAACAACAGGACGAGAGGCCAGGAGCTGGAACGCCATGTTGACGTAGATAAACACTACGTCGCATTTAGAGTTGTGAATAAGTAAAATGGTCTTAAAAGAGGAAAGAAGTTTGGCTAATCTTTACAGCCTAAACAGTGGTATATATGCAGATGATGAGTCACAATAACGTGGCTGAAATATGTTGACCAAACCACACACTAGAAAATGAAGGGACGACGACGTTTCGGTCCGTCCTGGACCATTCTCAAGTCCGACTTGAGAATGATCCAGGACGGACCGAAACGTCGTCGTCCCTTCACTTTCTAGTGTGTGGTCTGGTCAACAATGGCATATATATATCAAGACAGTTCCGTCTGGAGTCATTGTGCCTCTCAACCGGCAGTTATAGTCCCCTCTCCTTCAAACGACGTCAACACAGTCAAACACACAAAATGTTTTGAGAGCATTTTTGAAAACATTTAATGAAAGACAAACAGGAAGCCCCGAGACTGTTTACAACTACAGCAGTAACCTAGGAAGCTATGGAAGGTTGTATGTTGACGAGAAGTTAGGCTATGATAATTCAGGAGGAAGAGCTAGCAGAAGAGGAAGCGGAAAGGAGAGAGAGAGAGAGAGAGAGAGAGAGAGAGAGAGCAACGTAGGGAAGGTGGGTGGGGGGGGGGGCGTGTGGGGCTGGACACCCCCTCCCCTCATGTTAATATATGCAGACTGCTTGCCCATTGGGACCCGCCGGCGCTGAAGGCAGAACCCGCCCTCGCCCTCCACCCAACCCGTCCCCCTCATAGCACGTCGAATTTTGACGTACACTCTAAGGCCAAAAATCGTCATACTCGAAAATGGTAGCAGCTCACAAAACGTACTGTCCCGTTTTCTGTTTTGGGTCCTCTGGTTGGTTAGGACAAGGGCACTTTAGTACGACAGTTTCTTAACGTTGCGACACCTTTGGAGGACGAGCTGTTCCACCAGCCCCTGGTGAATGGTGCGGGTAATACCAGTGGGTGGATGGGTGACGTTAATACTACTGATGAGTAGAGTGTTTCCAATTCGTGAGGAGTGAGTTTGGCAGCAGGATTAATGAGTATTTAAACATTGTTTATGAGGACGGGGGCTGTTTCAGACGTCCGAACTCAACACCAGTGATTCATAGCTAAGAATATGTGGTTTGTCAGCCAGCTGGATAGTTAGTCAATACAGCTGGACCGCATAATTGATGTACATAACTGCTTTACATATTTGGAATACATAATTGATGTACATAACTGCTTTACATATTTGGTATACATAATTGATGTACGTAACTGCTTTACATATTTGGTATACATAATTGATGTACGTAACTGCTTTACATATTTGGTATACATAATTAATGTACGTAACTGCTTTACATATTTGGTATACATAATTGATGTACGTAATTGCTTTACATATTTGGTATGCATAATTGATGTACATAACTGCTTTACATATTTGGAATACATAATTGACGTACATAACTGCTCTATATAATTGGTTTGCATAATTGCTCTTCAAACTTGGTCTCCTTAATTGGCCTCGACAATTGTGACACGTCCAAAGACACAATAATTTCTACTGTACCAGATATTGACGTTAAGTCATTAGCATTTTCCTACTAAAATTCTCAGTTTAATTGTCGACCCCAATTACAATTGTCTTCGGTCCCATAAAAGTTGTTTCAATTTGTAAATGTTATATATTTTCTTGGAATGAATAAATATTTGAAGCTGCTTTTTAATAAGTATTTCTCACTTCCTTCTCCAGAGCGACATCCCCCGCCCCCCCCATCCCCAAGAACGACTTCGTCCGCTCCCCAAAACCGACATCTTCCCTCCAATAGAGCGACATCTTCCCTCCAATACAGCGACATCTTCCCTCCAATAGAGCGACATCTTTCCTCCAACAGAGCGACATCTTCCCTCCAATAGAGCGACATCTTCTCTCCAACAGAGCGACATCTTCCCTCCAATAGAGCGACTTCCCTTTCCTCCTAGAGATACATCACCACCTCCCCAAAGCGACCTTACCCCTCCCTTCCCTTCCCCACAGCGACAGCTTCCCTACCCTAGTGGGAACTCCAGTTGGAACCTTCCAGTATATATTCCAGAACAATTTTAGTAATCTGAACTACAGAACTACAACCTAGTTGGTATTGGACCAACCAGGCTGTAGTGGATGTGTGGACCTGCGGGTCGCTCCAGGCAACAGCCTGTTGGACCAAGCTCTCACAAGTCAAGCCTGGCCTCGGGCCGGGCTTGGGGAGTAGAAGAACTTCCAGAACCCCCCTACAGGTACAATCCAGGTAGAGATTCACTAGTAAATTTACATGCCAATGGAGGGTTATATATCAGCTATTGTAACTGATGTAAGAATTATCTACGACCTCACATTTTAGACTAGTGACCTCTAACAAGGGGACGCTTGTCGATGCTCTTACTTATCGTTTATAGAAAACATGTTTTCCTACCAAGCAGACTGTAGTGGTTGGTGTCTGGCACCTACTTAAATGACAGGGAGCAACTCAAACTATGAATAACGAAAAATAAAAACACTAATCAACCTTGAAAATATGTGAATCATTCCCTGATACAAAATAAACCACTTAACATTCACAACATTTGTCGACAATACATACCATAATACATGACGTTTATACATATACATAATTATTATATGAGCAAAATCGTCGTCTGGTGGAAGATCTGGGTATATGAAATTGAATGTCCTTATTACTTATCAAAATATACGACGCCGCTAAAGCGAGGCGCCCTAGACCATCTGAGGATTAACATATTCTCCGAACGGCCGTAAAAGTTATCCTATTGCTTCCTACACCTCACTTCATAACATATGGGAGGAGACGAGCAGGAATATGAGGGGAGGGTAAGGCCTCTGGGAGTAGTGATTTGGCTTTGATGGGTCTAACTTCATGATTCCTTCCCTAGAGAGAGAGAGGGTGCTGCTTCGTGTCGAACTCTGCCTACGACTAAGAGAAACATAAACGTTACACATATGCACACACACCTGAAAAGCATGTCACTAAGACACATGTGTGTATCACCCCCCCCCGAGAGAGAGAGCAGAGGAGAGAGAGAGAGAGAGAGAGAGAGAGATGAGAGAGAGAGAGAGAGGAGAGAGAGAGAGAGAGAAGCAGTTGAAGAAGAGCGGTCTGTCTCAGAGACCTGCATCTTACATGCAAAGCGCAATGCAGGAAGTTCCAGCTTCTCCACAGCACTGCTGGCAACAGATCCATCGCTTGGGGTCTAAGACCTGAACAATGTGTGTGTGTGACCCTCTATATAATAGATATTCCTTAAACAAGGGTATCCTAATCCAACCTAACCTATACTAACCTAACCTAACCTATCCTAACCCAACCTAACCTATCCTAATCCAACCTGACCTATCCTAACCTAGCCTAATTTATCCTTAACCCAACCTAAACTATCCTAAACAACTCTAAACTATCACAATCTTAACCTATAACCTGTGGTGTTGTATCTATGGTGTTCACGAAGTGTGACGTCACTATAACGTTATAATTTCAAACTGATACAGGTTTTAGACCCACCTCGGTCCGTGAGGCCTGCCTTAAACCAGCTGCTCTTTAGTTATTCATTAATTATTGATGCCTACAACCTAATTTTCGACCGTCTGTGTTATACTATATTAATATGTAATTTGTACATATTTAACAAATATGTTTTCTGAGATTTGAGCCATACT